CGCATGAAGTCGATAACCGGTTCAGATCATAGCTTTAGAATGCACCGGAGAAGAAATTATTGAAGCTGAAATATTTCTATTGCTATATGAGAATATCTACAGAAGAAGTTCCACAGCAGTGACACACTTGTGTGGTTTGGTCGTGGTGGTTAATAGCAAATTGAAACTTGGATCCATACCGGATTCAAAGCTCATCAGTGCTCCGGGGAGCTGGGCTTCCGCCTCAAGGCTTTTAAAGGAAGCCCTCTTGATGGCAGTTGACTTTGTTTCTACGGACGGCAAGTATAAATATGGTGCGTTGAGTGTTTTGGGGCGGAACCCTATTTTTCATGGGTAACAGGAGTTCCCGGTCGTTGGTGGTTCCGGCACTCACTACTAGAAAACCCCCCATTTTATGACACTTGCAAGTGTCTTAATTTATATAATATTGAGACACTGAGACTATTGAGACACTTTGAAAAAGTGTCTTTCATTCCAATGTGGCAATAGGTATTTGTGTAGCAATATGTTTGTGTATTAACTAATAAGCTATTAAGATATCCAATAAGGTCTTTTAAAATTGTCTGTTGTTACACATATTTTTTTTAATTTAATTTAGAAAACAAATGCTATTGATTTTAAATGTTGTATAAAATTTGTATTTTTCATTTATAATATTGAATTATTTCTTTTTTGAATTATCCAATTATTTTTTAGATCAATTTAGTAATATAATACAATATATTTTAAACTACAAAAAATTTAAAATCAATCATTGAATAAAGAATATATTTTATACCAATAAAGAAGTAAATGTAACGAGGTACATAAATCATTGAACATTGACCATTCTTTCACAATATACAAAGCATCAAACAATTCTAAACTTGTCTAGCTAGATGAAAGTACAAAACTACAAATTTTCCATCTTAGTAGCAATACTTGGAGACTTGGTGTAGCTTCTACCATCATTAGAAAATGTGATTTCGAAATTCATAGGTGGAAAAGGCAAGCATTTTCACCCCTATCGCACAGCTCTCATACCCCACGATCCTAGGATATCACCCCATTGGCTATTTTGAAAGCCAATAAACGATTAGATATAGAGTACAAGCTGCCGCAACTGCTGCTAAGATGCGAGTACTCTGATTTCTTCATCCGGATTGAACATGTTATGGTGAGGAAATGGTTTACTAAGATGCCAACTTTTTTTAAAAAAAAAGGGGGCAAATTTAGAGCATAGTTAGCCATAGATGTTTACCAATTAAGCCCGGAATCACTGGAATTTTGTCGCTAAGTAACTCCATTCTTCCTTCAATATCACCAATTAAGGCTCTTTGGGAGCTCAAGGCAGCTTAAGTTGATTGAGCACGATTGAACAGAGATAGGAGCTTAAGATGCCACAGCACAACTGAAGTAAATAGAAACAACACAGTATCAAACATACACACCTTGTATTCACCAATATTATTTCTAATTGAACAGGAAAAATAAAAATATAATCACATTTATCAAAACTTGTGTTACCTACTAGATTAACTTCAGTAGACACGTGAGATGATCCCCTTCAAAGCTAAAAAAGCAAAAAACATACAGGTAAGACAAAGCAGCTTACAACAGGGAAAATAATATGCAAACACAGGCAAAGGATGGATGCCATATGTTTGTTGTGCTTCATGAGAAGTAGGAGGTTTATGAGCAGAGACTTAAGACGTCTCACTTGATTTTTTTCTGCTTCTTATCATCAAACTCCAGGTGGCAAACCATAGGTTGCCTCTAGCCAGTAAATATAGATACCTAAGTGATACCTGATGTCACTGACTAAAGTGCACAAGATTACGAAAGGCAATAATTCTTACAATGTCTCCAAACACCGAAAATACAAATTTCATAGCTAACTTCACAACCTAGCGAAATAATCACGAGATAGTTTTATTAAAGTTGAGCTAAATGAGATGAATTAAATTGCCGCCGACAAATAGAAAGTATTGACTTTTAAAGATAGTTTCTCTATTTATCAAGATCATTATAGCACCGAGAAGAGTCATGTTTTAAAACATAGTTGGTACTGTACTTCTGTATTTGGAAAAAAACTATAACTATACGGCAACATTAACCAAGCAATATCCATCAAAAACCACAAACCTGCTGTTTAAATTCACAACTAACACAATCCACATTGCTTCTCTCTGTTAACTCCACAAAATGCCTGTAACTTGAGTGCCCCTAAAACAATACTAATACTGAAACAATGAAAAGACCAAAAATTTCTAAACCATATAAACTTTACAAATGGAATAACTTTCTAAATGGATATTCCTTTCAGAAAGTACTCAATCTTCAATCACTTTCCTGAATTCCATAATCAATCTCTCAACTGCCAACACAAATGCTACCACTTATTTTCTCATTCTTTTCATCCAAAAACTTGTACCATCAAATGGGTTCTACGGCTAGCTGTTCTTGGCACCAACACAAGCTATAGCCGAAATTTTTCTTTCACACTCAACCCGAATCTTGTACTTTCTTGTAAATCATCCCAGTCACCCAGCGATTCAAGTCGTTCACTCAGGTTTTTTCACAAATATATTCCAGAAATAACAATACCCACAAAGTAATGACACGAACTGCAAAAGACAATCAAAGAAATCACATTACCAAAGGAAGAGCTTTACCTTTCATTTTGGAGAACACGACGACGAATAAATTCGGGGGTTTGGATTTTGCAGAATGAGCGCGTTTTTTTTTTTCTTTTGAGCAGACCCTTTTCTCTACTCTTTCTCTGCCTTTTTCCGATAGGTTGAAGAGCTTTATCGTCAACAAGATATCAACTAAATTCCAATGGAGAAAATTCCAAGATCCTATCGATTGAAAAAGAAAAAAATCAAAAGATTGAATTACTTATGTATCGAACTTTTTGGTGGGTAGTGCGACCCTTTAATCACCACTCCCACAACGATACTTCTTCCGATGTTTTCTGGCACCGCTCTTTTCGCCGATTGTTGAAGAAGATGATGATAGGCAGCCGTCGGCGCCGATTGGTGAAGAGGAAGAAGAGAGCGTAGAGGAATGCCGTTTTGGTGGCATATTTTGGTGGGAAATTTTGCGTGAAAAAATACTATCCCCAAAGTATTGTAAAAATGGCATCGTTGCTACAGAAGGGGATTTTTTCTTTTTTTGGTCTAGTTGTGGTTTAAGTCTGAATATGTTTTTATTGAGGCGGGGTTTTTTTCCCTCTCTTCTTAATTTGGCCAAAAATGAATTCCCTCCACAAATTAATAATTGAATTGAATTGTTATTATTTCTTTTTTGTTTTCGAATTCATTTTTGATATTTTCAAGGCTCAACTTTCATTTCCATTTCTATATTCAAGCTTATTAATGAAGTTTTTTCTAAAACAAAAAACTTTTATTTTCGTATATTCAAATTATTTATTTGAAAATAAAACAATACATAATATTCTCATTTTAGTTTACCCTATGCCTTACTAACTGTAAAATTTAATCTACTTCAAGCTTGAAATTAGTTTTTGCAAACAATTATACTAATGTGAACAGATGTGTGAACGAGATTGAAAAGAATTACAGTAGAAAATAAAGAAAATTTTGTATCGTGAGATTTTCCTTCCCACAATCTTTTTTAATTTCTTTTTTTTTTTTCATCGGAAGCCTATTTTCTTGTATTACACATTTTTTTTCATGGGCTAACTTAATTACTTCATGATTCACAACTGAATAAGAGAAATGATATATCAGTTTTTCTTAGAAACTAAATATGTATAATAGTTTATTACTTATAAACTTTGATAAGTGTCTCAACAAAACATTCTAATGTGACATATTTTTTAAAATGTCTTAATAAAGTTTCCATATGTGTAGTAATAAAAGAATGTATCAACTACATATTTCTTGGGACGTGAATATTGTGTCTTAATTTTAAGTGTACTAATATAGAGGGTTTTCTAGTAGTGACTTTTTAGCTGGCGAGGGGATCCGCCACCGCTGGGACTTACACATTTAATTGTATAACTGGTGAGGCCATAGTTGAATACCACGTTATTGTTTTGCTTTATTGATTAGTTTCAAACTATGACTTTTTGTTTCAGTTTGGGTAAATTACCGATAGTATGTGACAATTAATCTAAAATTTTAGAGTACATATATGAACTTGGGGTCTAGTAAATTGTTGGCACTATTTTATAAGAAAAAGGGAAATATCGAAGAAATTTTGTTGAATATATTTCGTGGTTTTTATAGGTGATTGATGAGGGATAATTTTTTTTTTTTCTTTTGGGGTACAAATAGAGAGGTGGAAGCCTAGTTTTGAGCTATTATAACGCTAGGTAGATAGGAGACACTGACAAATCGACGAGATGATTACTTTTAGACATTTTGGCAATCTTATCTAAAATCGACAGAAATAAGACACCAAGATAAATCCATAGAGAAAAATAAGTAGTTTGTTTCATTCAGATAATATTCATTAATGAAACTGTTAATTGGCAGGGTAAGAGTCTAGGCGAAGTGATTGTCATATTGATGGGATAAAAAAGATGATGGTACTGTGAGTGAATCGGGAAAAAGAAATGCTGAAAATACAAAACTAATGTTAGAATCTTGGTGGTTGTTTACTGAATAGAACCGGGGGGGTGTCGGGGGTGGGTGGTGGGGTGGGGAATGGCCGAACGAAGAGATGTGGGCTGCAGATACCAAAAAGAGGCTCTTATATTTTAAAAATGGTGTGCAATCTATTTATACAACTCGTTTAGCCTAGGATTAGAAAACACGGATATTATAAAATAATGATGATAATTTACAACAAAATATTGTACGGACATTACAAACAAATGTTTTATATAATTTTGTGGCCAATCATATAATATCTTAAAAAAAATCTACAATATTCATCTTGAAGTGGGAAAATATCATGTGGTATCAGTTATAGCTGTCATATATGTCATATTTAAAGATTAATTGAGTATCATTCTTCGAATGATCATAAAAATCTAATTTAATTTTTTTGTTTCACAAAAGGTAACTTAATTTAAACCAAAGAAAATAAAAAGGAGAAGAGAAAATCGGAAATGAAACCATCACTAAACAATAATTTTGACCAAAGTATAATTAATCAAACCTTCTAGTCCTTGTAGTAAATGGTTTTCTATGGCTTCCATCCTTTCAAGTAACCATTAATCCGGTGGCCCTTGCGTCAAACTGTTTCAAAGCATTACAAACGGGCGTTTCCCGCTTATAGCCCAAACGAAGGATTTGCAACTGAATCATGCAATGTCGTGAAAGCATCGTGTAGTATTCATAATCGACCCGGTTTTCAATAGCTACCCGCTCTTTGCTTTTTGGTGGATACTCCTGAACAAACTTTTCTGTCTTCACATAATAAGTCACTCCTTTCTCCGTTGTCATCCTATGGTTGTAAGGATAGAACCGTGAAAGGGAATAGATGGGCTTCTGAGATGGCATGAAAAATCACCGCCAAAACATATCAAAAAAATGAAAGGCCATAATTTTAACCATTTTTTTTTAAGAATTGAAATTTATGGATTTATCATCAAACCTTATAACGGTTCATGACCCATGGATGATTAAAACCCGGTTGCTGATGGCTGTTCACACAATAACTCATGTCAACAACTCTTCCCTTAAAACCAAAAGAACATATCAATAAGTTATCGAAAGAAAACTTAAAACAAATCAAAATTGGGGAAAAAAAATATGAGAGGATATAAAAGCTGAAAAAAAAAAAAAAGGTATAATCTACTGTAAATACCTGACCCTTATTGGATTTGACCTGAGTCTGGTTGGAATGACTCAATCCGGAGGCAATACATAAGTTGATTCCGATGAATAACAACAGACAACATCGGTATATTGATCCTTGAAACTGCATATTCACGGTATTTTTGGGTTTGGTATCTCCTCAAAGGATTTAATAATACTTATGTGCCTAAGTATGTTACGTTGCGTAACAGTATGCCTTTGGGAGACTCTTGGGGCCGATATCTATACTGTAAAATTATTCATTTCATTTCAGATAAAGTTGTTTTGTTCCAAATAAATGCGTACAATGTACTTTTTAACTCCCTATCATTGTTGAGCAATAAAAAAACTTGTAACCAATTAAATCCCTCAGACTACGGACAAGGTTACTCTTCCTTTCTTCAAACGGAATAAACAGCGATAGAATTAGACCGATTCCCGAAATGCCTTTCTGGCTATTTCTATTTCTCAATGTCCCCCCTATTCAATAAAGTAAAAACAAAAGAAAATTAATTCATCCACTGATATAATGCTCCATTCATCCAAATTAAATGAAGTGACGTTTTTGTCGTATGATCTGAATTTTTACAAAGATTTGTGAGCAATAATTTATTTGGGATGGATGAAGTATTTAGGAAATATCGATCCCATGGTTTAGACGGTAAGTGCAAGTAGGTAGTCCTACGTTGAGGGAGTTCAATAAGAAGAAATTTTCAAATATTGAGGAGAAGGAGATGGAATGTAGGATGAAGTTACTGAAATTTCAAGATGTGATCAAACAGAAACCACATGATGAGAAAATACAAAAGATGAAAAAAGAAGTAACACAGGAATATATCAATGCCAGCAAAACTGTGATGAGTTTCTGGTCACAAAATCTAAAGGAGAAATGGATATGTGTAGGGGATATGGATACTCATTACTTCCATGCTGCAATCAAGCAAAAGTCTATCAGGAGTAGAATCATATCAATTGTGAATGAAAATGGTGACTTGATAGAAGATCCAGGTACAGGTGGAAAATCATTTTCTTCATTATCATCAGGATTTACTGGAAACCACTGTGGAAATGACTGCTCTTAATAGTGAAGTATTTCAAGCAGGGATGAAACTAAACATATCACAGCAGATTTCTCTAGTGAAAGAGTTCACAAAAGCAGATGTCAAGGAAGCTCTATTCAGTATTGATGAGAATAAGAGTTCAGGGCTAGATGGATTCAACAGTGGTTTTTACAGAAGAACATGGAGTATTGTAGGAGATGATTTCTGTGAGGTTTTATTAGAATTCTTCATAAGTGGAAAGCTGCTGAGGCAAGTTGATTCTACTCTAATATGTTTGATACCAAAGAATGAATCTCCCAATAATGCAACTGAGTTCAGACCTATCTCATGTTGCAACACTATATATTCATGTATATCTAAGATGCTTTGTAAAAGATTGAGTACTGTTTTGCTTGATTTAGTTGATCTCAATCAAGGAGCATTTGTCCAGCAGATATTGATCTTACACAATGTACTACTAGCACAAGAACTCATCAGTAAACCGTATTGCATGATGAAGGTGGATTTGAGGAAAACATATGATTCAGTTCATTGAGAATTCTTTGGAGAAATGCTAAGAGAATATAAATTTCCAGAAAAGTTCATTCAATGGGTTATGACTTGTGTTATAACTTGTTCTTACTCCCTGAACATGAATGGCAAATGTGTGGGATTCTTCCAAAGAAAAAGAGGTCTTAGACTAGGTGATCCAATTTATCCTCTTCTATTTGTATTAGTTGTTGAATACTGACAAGGCTGTTTACAATTTGGGATGGGAAAGATGGTTTTAAAAGGCATCCAGAATGTGAAGCATTGCATATAACATCACTTAGTTTTGTTGATGACCTTTTGATATTTTGTGGGGCTGATGTGGAAACTATTAAATATGTCAAAGGAGTGTTAGAACATTATGCCAGCACAACTGGTCTTAAGGTGAATGAAGGGAAGTCAAACTTATACTTTGGTGGTTGTGTGGATGAAGTTAAGGATCACATTAAGGAGATTATTGAATTTGGTATAGGCAGTTTTCCAATGCAGTATCTTGGTCTACCTGTCTCTCCCACAGCATGGACAAAGGCAGATTGCCAATGTCTTCTTTGATAAGGTGACTGCAAGGTTAAGGTGTTGGTCAACTAGACACCTTTCTTATGCTGGGAGAACTGTGCTAATCAACTCTATACTCCTGACATTACATCAATATTGGGCAAGTATTTTTAACATTCCACAATCTGAAATACAAATGATCACTGACAGTTGCAGGAATTTCCTGTGGGGAATAAAAAGCAATGGTAGAAGTTGGCCTCTTGTAGCTTGGAATGATGCGTGTAGAAGCAAAATGGAAGGTGGTATGAATGTTTAAGAGCCTGCTTACTGGAACAAGGCATTGGTTGGAAAACAATTATGGATATAGTCAAGCAGAAAGAAAGTTTGTGGATAAAGTGGATGAAGGAATATTATATAAAGGGGAGGAATTTTCGGACTTATTAACCACCTGCAGATTGCAGCTGGTACTGGAGGAAATTGATGAAAATCAGAGATGAACTGAAACCAGCTGTACAAAATGGAAAATGGTTGGCAAATGGAGGCAACGAATATACTGCTGGTAGTGGTTATAAGTGGCTTAAAGGTCAAGGAGAGAAATTTAAAGAAACACAAATAATTTGGAGCAAGTTTTCTGTCCCTAAGCACATTCACATAAGCTAGCTTGCTTGGCGTGCTAGGCTCTTAACTTTTGAAATATTGGAGAAAATGCAAGTCACAATTGATGACTCAACCTGTATACATTGCAACAGAAGTTTGGAAGCAGGATCACACTTGTTTTTTGACTGTGCCTTCTCACAGCACCTGATAACTTGATCAGGAAGTGGTTGGGAATCAGAGTTGGAATTGAGAAGTTGAATGCCATCAGATTACTGCATATCTGAAAGCAGAAATCACTGAGAAGGAAGGTTCTTCATGCTGCACAGAATGCTACAATACATCATATATGGACTGAGAGGAATACCCGAAGATTTGGAGATCAGGAAATGACAGAAGAGCAAAGGTTTGAAAAGCTGAAAAATGAGGTCACTTGGAGAATTATTCATCAGTTTAGAAATGGTAAAGGGGATAATGTAAGACTGCCAGGAAGTTTTGAAATTCTAATTACATAGATTGTACATATTGTAAATGACTTGTTTGTGATGAAGTGAAAGCTTACAGTTTATCTAAAAAAACCATGCTGACGAGTCCGTATCCATCACCGAGACTGGACCGGCCCACCAACCATAGGAAGAGTCCAACCGGAACTCTTAGGGCGGCGTAATTTCCTGAAACCTAGTTGGATTTGGGAATTGCCCCGGTAATCTCATACCTATAAATAGGATAGCTCATATCACAATACAGGTACGCAATCAATAGCCGAACAAACTACCTTCCTAAACTGTCCAGCAATCCCTTTTACTAACGTAATCATCGGAGTGTCTACCCTCGGGAGACCCCGAGGCCGTGTTTTGCAGGAAACCCTAACCGGAGTTCCACCATTAACTCGGCGGCACATATCCAAGCATCGTCAAGTAGCACGCCCAGTGGGACCCAAAAATTAGGGTTTGTGTCACAAAAACCTTCTCAAGTTTCCTTAACATCTTTTCATAACAACTAGGGTTGCCGGAACAATCGATACGATGGTCAGAGTTGAAGAAGACGCCGGTAGCACAGCATCCTCCGGCCACCAGCACAGTTTAGGAGACAATACTCCCCTGGCCAAATTCCAACGCCGGCAAGAAAAAAGAAAGACAGGAAAAAGCCACGGCGGAAAACCTGGGAAACAACCGACAAAGGAGCGTTTGGTTCTTAGCGCTTCTCAGCCCGATCCAAAGAAACAAAACAACACCAATCTTCCACCTGAAAAAGAGGATATACCTCCTCCTCAAAATACCCCTGCTGCTACCAAGCGTTTAGAATACCAGAAACTAGCCAAAATCGAGGCTGAACTCAAGAAGCTAGGCGATGATAGCGATCAACAACAGAGGATGCGGAGATATGTTCTCAAAGAAACTAGGCGGCGTTGTCTCCTTGGACAACCCGAACCTACAGAACAAGAGTTGGAGGATTTGATCGACAAAAAAGAAGCTCGCAGAACCCTAGCCCTTCTCGAGAAGAAACGGGGCAACCGGAAAGTCCAAGAGCAGGAGAATTACCAAGAAACTGAGGGATACGAAAGCCCCCACGAAGAGCGCTCGCATGCCACCAGAGATACCATATTCTGGAACGCTTTCAGAGAAAGATACTTAGCCTTTGACACCGCTCTCAAGGAATTCAAAGCAATATACCAACGAAGGGGCGCCGGGAAGAATCCTGACCCCCCGAGCGTCGAGATCATCGAAGGAGAACAGGGGAAGCCTCCAAGGCACGTAATCGCTTAGAATTCAATTGGAATCGAAGAAGCCCTCGAAGAGGTGAGTACAGACACAACTACGAACCACATCGAGGCCACAACAACATCGAGGGCAACTATGACCAAGAATACCATCACCTTCCTCGATACTCACCTCCAAGACAGTAGCAACATGATTGGCGTAGGGAAAATCCTCCGTATTTCCAGGAAGATCAGCAAGGAACAAGAGACCAGAATATCTTGATCTGAGAGGAAATGAGAAAGATCATCGGGAGAGGGCTAGACCGGAGCCCCTTCATCCCCAGCATTCGAGATGAACCTAAGCCCCAAGACTTCGACTTCCCTAAAGAATTCAAGCCATATTCAGGAGATACCGATGTCTCCCAATGGCTGCAAGGGTATGTCCAAGCCATGAGAATCCGAGACGCAACCATGAACTTCATGACAAAGGCGTTACCGTCATACTTATCCGGGTCAGCACAGCGATGGTTTGGGCAATTACCGAAAGGAAGTGTCACCAGCTTTGAAGATTTGTCCATCAAACTAGCTACTCGATTCTTCCAGAGCAAACGGATATCGTGGATGTCCATCGACCTTTCCTCAGTCAGACAAGGACAGCATGAGAGTCTAACCGACTTTCACAGACGGTTCATACAGGAGACCTTGCATGTCGACAACATCGATGATCGAGACGTCCGCAATGGATTCATCCAA